TGCGTTTGAATGAAAGGCCCCGAGAGATCCTGCCTTTCTTGACTTTGCCAGCAGCATCGAAGCCAGAGACTCACCGTTGAGTTCTCAGCGGGAGATAGCGCCTCCCTTGGGCTTTTTCTTTTAGCAAGGTTGAATCACCCAGCTGCTTTGCACAGCAACGGACCACGCTTTGGGCCCCAAGGGAGGCTCCTCTGGCCAGTGCTCCGCAGATTCGTTTTCACGAGAACATCAGCGACCGGTAGGGAAGCGGTGGGAAGGGAGGGGAATTGCGAGATATTTCCGGTTTGGGAGTGGTATAGTATTCACTACTCCCTCTAGGGGTCCTTAATTAGATAGGTTATCGGATATCGCATTCCAATATCATCCAATATCACTTTTGGGGTTACTAGGACGATATCCCACCCGTCGCGCCCTTGCTGCACTTTTCACTGTCCAACTTCGTGGAGAAGTGAAGCTGATGCTCGGCACAAGAACTCCGCTCGTTGATGCGTCTCACGACAAAGCAGCTTGACTCCCCAATTAGAGGAAATCGATCACCCAAGCTTGTGAAGGAGGCCCGTGGGCCCCGCAGGTTTTGAGAATCTTCGAGCAACACTGAACAGTGTCCGTTGGGATCCTGGGGAGGGGACTTGACCGAGACACAGCCAGTTTGCAGGATTTCAAGAGCTACATGAGTTTCACACTGCGAAAAAAAGCAGGAGGTTCCAAAGCAAGCCGAAGCTACCGAAATGCCACATTTCTGGTTTCTGTGAAGGAAGTGAAGGAAGAAGTTGACTGCTAATAGGAGCATGAATATGGAGTTCGGGCGAAAGGTAAGGTCTTGAGTCTGGAGCTCGTGCCCCCTCTTTCCGAGCTTGGCTCATGTCACTCATGTCGTTTAGGACCTGTTGTGTTTCTTGTTTCTTTCTCCTTTTTCTTTGCCCGCTTCCCCCTCCCTACCAGGAGGGGCTCAGCTAAAGAGTTTGCCCCTCTTTTGTGTTGTCCGATCGGTGGGCCTGGGCGGCCGATAGGTGATGGACTCGGTTTAGACGCTTCCGCAACCTGGAGCCTCAATTCTCGCAGGTCAGAAAACAGTCTTTTCGTTCCAGAAGTGGAAGGGCCATGTGTCGGAAAAACGTTCCAAAAAGCACTGCTTCATATTTGATCATTTTTTCTGCTTCGTTTGACAGGACAAAATTGGCGTGTGATTACATTATGTAATCTTTCATTTCGCGCTGTCACTCTTGTTCCGCTGTGGACTCTTGACTGCTTTCACCCGGAAATGGCGACATCATCGGCATAGTTCCGACCGTGTCGGTCACTCTGGAAGTTGGGGACCAGACCGTTGAGAATGGCGGCATGTTCTTCAGCTTGCCAACATACAATCCTTCCATGCGAATTACATCTAATGATTGCATATTATTGCAGTAACAATCACGTTCAGGTCTATTTGCTGTTACCATGGAGGCCCCTGTCTACCCATGCCGCAACGGAATAGATTTGGCCAAGATCCGAGTGGGGAGATCACCAGCTTTAAAGGTTCTCAAGATATGGTTCGTTTGATCGGAATGCCACTTGCCCGCTGCCTAGTGAAAATTACCCGAGTAAAACAGGTGGCCAAGAAGAACGTTACATTGAAGCAACGCTTAAGACAGCTTGAGCCTTACTTAGAGTTTCAGGCACTCAAACAAGTTGGAACGAAGCAACTTCAGGTACATGAACCACCGTGAAACAAACTAGGGGACCACAGCAACCAATCAAAAGTTGAACCAAAGCAGGTACGTTTACACGGCAGCTTGGATGGGTCTTCGTTGGCCCATGCCATCCAAGTGCCCATGGCCCCCCTGCTGCAAGACTAAATAAAACGGTAAGAAAATACTGCCAAAAAGCAACCTGTGACTCTAAGGTGTGCACACACGCGCACACACACACACACACACTTAGGATAGGGTGTACTGAACTGATAGCGGTGCCACACGCCAGCCTAGGGTTCCATTTCCTAAGAGTATCAGTAGGAAGCCATCGAATCCTGGGGGTCTTCAAAAGGAAAGGTGGCCCAAAGCGTAAGAACGAGGTCGGCGATCAGGTCGAAGCGACGGCGTGCCGTGCATGTCTGCAGAAGGTCAAGCGCAACTCAGCAAATGTTAAAAATCAAGCAGGTACACAATGCGGCGTCCCGCATTGCTTCACGACCGATCTATCACTGTCTTCGTTGGGCAGTGAGTGATAGTGGTCCACTGCCCCCCTGCTAAAAAGAAAAACAATTCAACGGAATCCCTGTGATTACAAGGGGTACACACACATGGACTGTACGTCCATTTGCGATTTAGCCGGGCAATGCATGTAGCATTCCAAGCTAGAACTCTGTGAGATCATGTGACGAAACAATGTCTCATATGTGCTTGGTGGGTGAAACATGTTGAGCCCCGCTAGTGGGTGTCTTCATCGATTTTTGCCACACTCATGTGGCACATACGGGTCAAAGTTGCACACCGCGGTGGATGGTTGATTGACATTGGACAATAGAGACACGAACACCAATTTCTGGTACAATCCGAGCCAACCCCCGCAGCCACAGACCACAGAAGATGTGAGGATCCACAAGTGAGATACTGTATAGGGTTTGAACTTATCCAAAGTCGTGTCGTATTGGCTTCATTGAGTATTACAGAACCGTACATCGAAGCTTCCCACTCGTTGGCAAGGGCTTGGGGCTGGAACTGCGACTTTATGTGGGATCCCTGGAATGTCCGGAGTTCAATTGGATGGTACAACTTTAACCCGAATATCCCGATTCTCAATTGTTTTGGGTTAGTGATCCGGTGAACAACCTGAGTCAAAACTAGGCAGTGGATACCCCAGAGACTGCAGAAACTGAGCAACTACCGATTTATATCATCCGATCTAAAGGAGAATCGTCCATTTTATATAACATTTTCCACACCTTCCTGGTCATGTGGTTGGTGACCCCTTGATAGGTTTATCGGGTTCTTCCATTCCGCAGAGTTTTCAACAGGAGGGTCTGAGTCTAATCCGACCAAGGGCTTTCACGGAACACCACAGCAATGGCAAGACTTTTGGACCTCTTGTATCCTCTTATAACAACAGTGGCATCGTCAGTGTTTCTTAAATACAAACTACTGTACTGCTTTTGAGACATGATCCGCTCTGCCCAGTTTTGCAGGCAGACTGCACTCGCAATCCCTCATGCATTCCAGTTCCGAGCGATTCCCTTCGATTCAGTTTCGTTTCAATTGAATCGTCAGCCCAGCAGAAAGCTGAGCACGAGTTGATGCCGCATCCAAAGAGCATGTGAGTATCTCCTTTCTCACAAAGGGCATCGCTACTAGTAACAAAGGGCATCGCTACTAGGAGCAAGGACGCTACTAGGAGCTCCTGGCCTTACTACTAGGAACAAGACTGCTACTAGGAACAAACATCGCCCGAGCAACTTGCGATGACATCAGGTCCAAAGACATCCGATTCTTGTTGTACACGCTCACATATTCTCACCCCTATGTTATGAACAGAACCAATCACCACAGGATGTAGAGTCTTTAGTATTAGAAAGGCTTCTGTGTACTGTATATATATATATAGGTGCCAGAAACTCCAGCAGCTGAATTGTGGCAGAGTGCTCAAGGCTCCTGACGAATTTTCCTCAAGAGGCTCTCATTCTGTACAGTTGAGGCCACAGTGCAGAGATTTCATGAGCATCCCAGCTCAGGCAAAATGCTCGACCAAGAGTCAGATGAACCTTTGTGACACAGAGAATCTGTGGGGCCTTCTGGAAGGACCTTCGCAGGAAGATTTCATACCACGGAGTTCTTTGGAGGGGAGCCTGTTAAGGACATGGAAAAGGTTTGATAGGCTTGGTATTCATGGAGTGCCAGAGGTTCTGAAGGATCAACCAAAATCAGTGAGCTGAAGTAGAGCACCAGATTTCTTTGAGGAGACCTTTGCTTGAGATCTTTATATAAGTTAATGAGGATGACGGACCATCAACATGAAGGTTTCAAGCTTATATTTTTATTCTTTGCTATTGATCAAGCCAGCATCAGACGGATCCTTCAAGTAACTTTCTGCAGCTTTTGCAAGGCTTGAGTGGAATGAACAAAAGGCAGTGAGGTTGTTCACCACAAATATTATTGGGTGGATTGACCACAAGAGCCAGCCATTTGCCGGCCGTTTTTAGATGGTGCATGATGGGCATGCTTTTGCCGTGGTGGTACCACCCTTGCCAGGTTGTTTCTTGTCAGCTAGGGCAAACTCCCACGATCTTAATATAGGCAGTCTGGGTAATATTTGCAGTTTGGGTGATGACACAACAGCTTCCCGAATGAAGGTTTTGGGCCTAGGAAACCCTGCCGTTGGTTTGTTGACTTCGCCCACACCACCGCTTCTACGCGTGGCCAGGGCTGTCGGCCGAACAGCGTGCCATGCTTTTCATCGATTGAGGCGGCCTGAAATGGTCTGATGGGCAACCTAGTTGCTTTAGTGGCTCATGTGGAATTACGGAAGTCTATTTTGGGATCATTTTTCGGCTTGCCAGAATGCGGGCAGGTGTCCTTTTTATTTGTATGACACACACACACACACACGCACATACTGTATCTGGTACTGAGACTTCAAACTCGTCGCACGGGAAGTTTCATCACTGCCGGGGCTGAGGATAGCACAGGGGCATGGATCATTGATTGAGATCTGGATAATGGAATTTTGATGAATTTTGTGTAGGTGGCAGCAAAAGGGGGTCACGATTTCAGACCGAACGCTTCCACTATGGAGGTACGGTCCCATTGTCCAACCGAGAACTGGATTCCAATAGTTGAACACCATCCGCATCTTCTGATGACAACTTCGACACGCAAACCAGTGAACATTGTTGAAGTATTTAGAATGTTCATTATATAGCTGTCTTGAGTGAATTCGCGTGAATTCAGCAAGTCGCTCTTTTACATCTTTCTTCTGGAGCCACTGTGGTCCACGTGGTCTCATCCTTCCGGGTGCCGCTTCTCGCCATGGATAAGTCAGTCTTGGAGGTTTTTCACAAGTTTGACTCAGATGGCTCCGGTGCTATCAGCCGAGATGAGCTTGGGGAGGCGGGAGAAGGATAGAGAGTGGGAGATGGACAGAGAAGGGTTCCGATTTTGCGGCAGTGGCACAGTGGAGTGCTCTAATTTCCCTCATCTAGAGAACGGAAGCTAGGACCGGATTGTTATTTTCAATTCTTATCATTGATCCACCTTGGTCGTTCCCTCCTTCAGGTCCTGAAGTCTCTCCAAGAGGAGCCATGGGAGGACGATCAGATTGACGCCTTGCTGACTGCGGCGGACGCCAGCGGCGATGGCGAATTGCAAGTGGAGGTCGGGTATCGCAGTCTGTTGATCCGGAGCTTGTTCATCAGCAACAGTGGAACTTACGATAGAGCTTCCCGAGCTCAGCAAGGCATCAGCCGCACTGTGTTGATATTGTAAAACAGGAAACGTCAAGCTGCAAGCCTTGTCCTTTGCGAAGAGGGTGAGTCCAACATGTCAGTGGCTTCGGATTCAAGCTAGATATCAAACGAACATTTGGGTCACTACTAGGAGCAAGGACGCTACTAGGGGCTCCTGGCCTTACTATTAGTAGCAAGTAGCTAGTAGTAACAAGTAGCTAGTAGCTACTGTTTCGACCTGATCTGCCTTTGGGCCTTGCGTGCCTGGCGACAGAGGAGTTTGTGAAGTGGGTCTTCGCCACAGATCAGGAGATCTCTGAGACCGTCAAGGGCACCTATACCATCAAGGTCTCAGGCGCAACTTCTCCAAGACCATCCCAGTTCGGACCGGGGTCAGTCGGAAGGGCTAAACTACTGGATGTGGTCGTACAGATGAGCTTCCATTACTCCTCTTTATCTCTCATCCCCCAGTGCCAAGTTGTTTTCCTGACTTCCAAGTGCAGATGAGCATCGACAACCCAATTGGCTAGGCCCGTTATGTAATCTTTTTTTTTATGTGTTCACATCCTGGAGGCTGCTCGCGGGAGGAGTTCAACGGAGATTACGTGCAACAAGAAGGAGAGTTTTACTACCGCAGGCCGATCTTCTTTTGTGCCGAGCAGGAGAAATACCTCTTCTACCACGGGAAGAGGCGCCTGGGGCCAAAAGCGTCAAAGGCGAACACCCCAAAGAACCGCCAGGCAGACTATTCTGCTGCCTTCTTTTCTGGAGTGTCATAGCCCTCCGAAACTACCTGAATCTGCTGAAAGAGGTTGGTGGAACCAAACTGGCGCCATGCATAATTAGTTTCCCCTCTCTCTCTCTATTTCTCTCTTTCAGCCGTGAGTCACTGAGGGAACAGTGGCAGATCTTTGGGAGGACAGGCAGCAAAGCCTCCTGTCGCTTAAAGACCACGCGTAGCGTCACAGTGCCGGGAGAAGGGATGACATGGGCCGTGTGGAAGGCCAAGAAGGATAGTCTCTTGGTCTTTCCAGATGAAACTTTTTCATGTTTTGTTTTATCGTTTTTGAGAAAGTTCCTGCGAAGGGTTCTTTATAAAGAACTGCTGTCAACTCCATCTGCCTTTCCGTTCCCCATATCAACAACGTTACCAACAACGTGCAGTCATCAAGCATCTTCATCATCAACCTCATTATCACGGCAGTATCGTCAAAGTGCAGAGATATATACATGTTGTGAAGTTGTCGCCACAAACACTAGTCTAAATTGTGTTTTACCTCTGCGGCCACATGGCCCAAAATCAGTTTCCACCTCAAGGGCCGGCGGCGGTTCCAAAGCCAATGGCTATGTGAACGGAGCGATGAGCTCCGCTCGAAGCCCGCGGAAGAAATAGTGAGAGCGCAGAAATCGAGAGCTGTGTCCTTAGAGTTAGCTACTTCACTCAGTTCCAAGTGGGTGTCGTCCTTCGCCTACGCATAGATTTTGAAAGTTGAGAATGGCAACTGCTAGCACCAGATCCCAAGCATCTGGATCTGGCTCCCTGGAAGTGACTCGGGACAACTTCATTCCCTTGCTTGACAGCAAGACCTCCTCGATCGTAATGGAGGGCCTGGGTGTTGCTTTATGGAAAGAAGATGTCCAGCCAGGGTAAAAGCAAAGAGGCGACCATGAACCTGTACGTGATGGATGAGTTTGAGGACAAAGAGAATTGAATGCCTATAAGCCGCCACCTGGGATGTCAATGAGGCTGTCCTCGTCAGTGGCACTTCCCTGACGATGAAGACGCTGAGGACGCCTTCACCTAGAAGGACACATCATATCATACCCGTCCTTGGAGAAAGACGACGTGGCCTGTGCTGAAGAAGGTTGGGATGAAAACATTGAACAGGCCTTCTGGCCTTCTCCACTTACCTGGATGCTCGGAAACAACTTGCAGATTTGAAGACTACTATGTCGAATCCCATGTCGGCTACCGGATCTTCACCGTCCTCGAGCCCCACCTCAAAAGGAAAAGGCCGAGTCAAGGGCCAAGGAAAAGGAAAAAGGAAGTGCAAGCATCCGTCCAAATCACCGCCAAGCCGCACGCAAGCCTCTGGATATGGATTGACTTGTCTTCGATGTGGGCAACAAGCTCATTGGGCATCTCAGTGCCCATAGCAGATGGTGACCACTCCAAAGACCAAAGATGGAATCTACGGGATGCTTGGCACAAGTGGTAGGAGTGTGGTCATCGGTCATGTCAATCTGATGTCTATCATCACCTTCCTCCAGACCAAGCACGCGCTGATGGAAGATGTACGCTTCCGACCTGCCCACAAGATCCTCCAATTGCGAGGATGCCATTGCTGACTGGCCGGTCCACCTACCCACCATCATCAACGTTATATAACTAACCTATGGGACGATTTCAGGTCTTTGTCGCCGCGGGTCGCACTCCCCTCTCTTGGGAAGACCCATCCTGTCTTCTTTTGGCATCTGGATCAAACATCAACGAGATTCTCTTTCCATCAAGGATGATCGCGGAAAGAAGCCGCTCGAGGAAATCGAGGGGAGTATGTGGTGCCTCTAGGTCACCAATGGTGCCTCAACTTAACCAGTTGCTTTGACCTGATGACGGACGAAAACATGGAGAAGGTAGAGAGCACCAATGAGGGGGCGGTTGATCTCCAAACTTACCTTTCCGCCACTGGTCGTGAAGCCGATGAACTGATATGGAAGAGGACGAGGACATTGTTGATGTCTCCGGCCAGAACATGAACTATGACGAAGATCCCTCAGCCATCTACCGTCCTTTGGCCTCAAACTGCTGAAGACCATCCGGACACAACAACAATATTGTAACAATATGCTCTAGCCCAACAACGACGAATGGTTGATCAAGCACTCGTGGCCAGTTGCACAGCTGGGAGCTACTCTACAGTGGCAGTGGCAATTTGGGCGGTGTTTTGGCTTGGCGTGGGCGTGAAATGTGTCGGTTTGATTTGATCAATGGCTGGGATTTCATCGGATTTGCGAAACCCGCGCTCCTTTGTTGTGCCCGTATTCCTCTACAGAATCGTGCGTGTCGTATGTGCGAAACTGGTATTTGATAACAGGCAAAATTGTTGCGGCCGCTTTCCTACAGGAATCCTGCGCGTCGGATGTGCGAAACTGAGCAAAATTGTTGTGCCCGCGTTCCTCTACAGGAATCATGCGTGTCGGATGTGCGAAACTGCTAGCAAAATTGGTGCGGCCGCTTTCCTACAGGAATCCTTTGCGAAACTGAGCAAAATTGTTGCGGCCACGTTCCTCTATACAGGAATCATGCGTGTCGGATGCGAAAAGAGTGAGACTATGTGATATTGTTGCTGAAAATTGGCTGTTGGGCAACTGTTGTTGGAAACGCAGGTCTGGGAGGCTGAAGTGTGAAAGTGTCGATGAAAATTGGCTCTCGTGACGCTGAAGGGTGGAGTCGTCGTCAAATCTGATCGCGCTGCCGACATGATCCAAAGCGTGAAAGCATCGTCGAAAATAGCGGGGTGGGGTCGCCAAAGTGTGAAATTGTCGTTGAAGCTGGTTTTGTTGCGGTACAAACTGAGCTCAGAACTGGCGGAGTTGTAGTCCAAGTGTAGTGCTCCCAGTGAGCGGGAGCTTTGGGCACAGAACTGGCGGCGTGGTAACCAGTGCGAATGTGATGTGCAGAGTGACTGCTGTCATTTCAGAACTGCGGCTCAAGACATGTTGTCGCACGGCGCACGGTGTGGCGAGATTACAATACTTTTGTGATGTTGCTGTGCCATGTGGTTTGTTGAAGCCTCCGTGGGAAGTGCGTTTGCGTAGCTTCCTGCCATTGGCGAACGGGAAGCGTTCGTCCGTAAACGCATGTTGCTGGTCAACGAGGCTTGGTGTCACATAGTTGCGTCTAAGTCTATTTAGCGAGTTCGTATATGTGTGGCACGCGGTGTGGCCGTAGTAGTCATCATCAGTATCATCCTGCTGCATGACAACAACATGACACAGCACAGCTTGCTATCACACATCACACCGTGACATTACTATTCAACACTCTCTATTATACTATTATATAACTGTTTTTTACATTTCTTGCATTTTTTGTTGGATTCTTTCTCGGTCTCTTGCTCCTTCGATGCTATCGGGCCACCCTGTCGTGTAGTATTCTTTTCATTTCTCCGACGTGTTGCGGTCGTCCAGGATTAGGCCTGCGGAAACCTGAGCACGGATAAAACATGATGCTTTCATGGTCACGCTAAGTGTTTCTTGTTGTTGATATGTTCCGTATTCTACCGCTATCTACATCGGGATCAGGCGGAAAGAAAACGTTTCTGCGAGAGCCTTCGATGACAGTCGTGGCAGATGTTGGGAAGAAGCCGAGCGCGGAGGAGCATCAGTGGCGGTGCCGCGTGAACTCTGCAAATTCGCTGTAGCTCACATACCGAGACATCTAAGAGGTCCTGAACATGTAATCAAGTTTCTGTAGGCATGTTTTTGGTTTGGGGTGCTCGAAATCTTTTCCAGTGGTGCAATTGAGAAACACATGTCCAAAAGTCAAAACCTCCGGTCATCCTGAAAACGAAAACGCCAGTTCTCGAGGAGCTACTGCGGAAGGCAGAGGATTGCGTGAAATTCGACGAGATCTACTTCAAGAAGGCCTGGGTTTGTGCAAGGTTCTTCCATATTGTTAGTCTATGTTGGTAGAAACTAAGGGCAGATGTCACCAAATTCCACGCGATCTGATTAAGGGCTCTATTGTGATTGTTGGCCCCGCTTGAATTTGTTTGGATTTTTCAAAGTTTCATTGTTCCTCACGTTTCAGCGGCCAGGTAGATGGCCAAGTCTTAGGCGATCGTGCAGTTTACCGCCAAAAGAAGGGAGACGTGGCAGCGTTTGGCAAGAAACACCATTGCACGGCTCTGTGTCTGTGTATCAAATCCAGAAGGAAAGTCCAGAAAGGCTTCAAGAGTCAAAGACTATCGTTTGGATGGATCAATTGAATCTTTGCTGCTTCTAGTGTCCCAAGTGACGGGTGCTGTATTGTGGCGTCTTCCTGATAGCTGTGATATGGTAGATAGGCAGATATGCCTTGGAATGCTTGATGTGTGTCGTGCAGTCCAATTTACCATACATTAAAGCCCAGTGAAGGAACATGGGCATCCCTCAAACCAGTTCATAGAAAACTACAAACCTTGGCACCTTGGTCCCCATTTTGGGAGTTGCCACAGGGACGTCAACAATATTTCTCAAAAAGTTCAAGACAACTAAGTTCCCAAATTCTGCGAACTCCGTAGGATTCCACACAATTCTGCAAATTCAGCCGGTTTTTGCTTCAAAAGCGTTGCAATTTCTTTTTTTGGGGGCACCAGCCTTTTCAACCTCCTTTTGCTCCGATGTTTGTTTGTCCCAAGGTACTATTGTTGCTAGGTCTTCCGCTTTCGTTTGAGGGATATTGTCGGTTTGAGCATAGTGTTGCACAAACGTCTTACTCCAACGAATTCCGTTTTCTTCACTCGGATGAGGGTTGTTTGAAGTTCTTTAGTACAGACTCCTCCACAATGCTCTCTCAATTGACTTCAGAACGTTGGGTCATTGGCAGGGCCATCGAAGGCCGGGAACTCCTCAATCCTAACCACAATGGGGCTGGCCGGGTTTCGATCAGTGCCAACCCAATGGAACAAGTAAAGCTTAGAAACTGGCACTGGTTTGGAAACGGTTCAGAAACTGTTTTGTCGGGTTCAGCGGATGCAGGGGGTCGGGGGTGTTGTGGTGTGCGTGGTGTGGCATTGACGTGACATTCATGTGAGCACAACTGTTTAACGCAGTGTGAAGAGGACGTTGCTAGTTTCCCAACCGGAGTTTCCGAACCCAGCGTTTTAGTTTCCGAACTTAACGCTGGCCACAACCGATGGAGAACACCTATCTTCATTGGGTTGGGCATTTGAAGTGGTCTTCTGGAAAATCATCGATTGATCTTGCTCACCATGGTGTCCTCATGGAGTTTATTCTTGGCTCCGTTCACTCAGCAGTCTCGGCTTTCCACTCCAGGATCGAGTAGAGCACTCAGTTTGTTCCATTTTGTTCCATCCACGGGTTTGCTTCCCAAGGAGAGGATTGGGCCGATATGTACCTCTTCTATGAGGGCCCTGAGACTCGTTGGAAGCGTGGCACGGAGCCCAAGATCGGCGAGCCCTCCTTGAACGTCTCCAGGACACTGAGCTGAATATCACATCATTTCAGTCTAAGTCAAAATGAAATTTGCAAGCCTTTGGGTTAAGTACGTTAAGTTCATGAGTTTTCAGCCAGTCGCAGTGTCCGTTCATCCCAGCAGACACCTTGAAGGGGGTGGGGTGGTGATTTTGCTGAAAACAGCAGGAACTCAGCCTGACACTCAAAGCGATTAGGTCACCTAAAACACTCAACCACTAATTTCAGGGTGGCTAAACAAACCACTCACCTAGTCTAGCGACGCTGTGTGACTGCATTTGAGTGACAGCGCGAGCCTTGAGGGTCACCGATGTGCCCTCCCCAGAGCTCGCGATTTGGATGGACGAGATGTTCGGCGGGCGCATTGACGTCATCGCTGTGGACACGGATGGGTTGCCTAATACTGTGCACAAAGGCGGGGGCAGTGTTGCGCTGCGCTTGGCGCTTGAAACTGGTTGAAGCTATATATTTGGCTGGCCATATTATGCTATATAATAACTAACTATATATATATATATAAGCATGATAAAAAGCAAAAAACGGCTCCATGCTCAGCACTTTTGGCTTCACTCACCTCTGTTCTGCAGTGCTTCGCATTTTTACTGGCTCAAACCGCATTTCAAGCTTCTTTTTTAGGGATTCCGTCGTTTTTGTCGGTGGCTTGAAAGACCATCAATTTGCCAGAACCAATGTTTTGGGATCGAGCCCAATAAAGCTGGAGGCTCTTTCGAGCAACTTGAAGATCAGAATGTCTTGGCCATGCGAAGATTAGCCTGGTGTTTGGGAACCATGAAGTCGTAAACTGTTCATTTTAACACAGACTTGGCCGTCAGAAGTTGTTGATGCACTCTCAAGTTTTGGTATAGGTGCACCCACAATCCACAGAGCATCCAAAAACAGGATGTCTGAGGACGACTGTTCAAGCCTAGAAGAAGGTACAACCTGCGAATTCCTGTCGCATGGAGCCAAAACACGGCCTTGCAGCTGTATGGGATGGCGAGTTTGCCCCATGGCTATCGGAACACCATAGTCAACAAAATCAAAGGAATTACTGTACCAGGAATGTGATACCTACTATAGTCATACTATGGTCCCGAACCACATCCTCCCACGAAGCTGCTGAACTAAAAATGCGAGAAGAAGAGACACTTCCTGGAACTGCCAGGCTTGAAGCTGAATCGCAGCATTCCAGAGGGATGGCACGACCCCGAGTTCGAACACAACAAAGCCTCCATTGGAACCAAGGCCTCCAAGAGCTTCTTGGCTTTGACTCGTTGGATCATACATGGAAAAAGACATCCCCCCATGAAGTCACTGGTTGGTTCGGCCTGTGCATTATGCAGATTCAGATAGATACAGCAAACCAGAGATCTCCTTTCAATTGGATGTAGGCTTTCGTGGCATCCCTGTACTCCGATGGCAATATCCCTTTTTACCTTAAGCAATATCATTGATTTCAAGGGGCATCGGGAGTTTGAAGACAGAAGAGATAATTTGATGTATTTCCAATCTGGATAATGTTGTTTCAGTACTTGGATATTCTTACCTTTTTGAATCTTTAGAGGCGGTTTCCACTAAGAAACCCATAAGCACATTAAGGCAACTGCATGATCTCCAGGTGAAACATCGAGTTAAGATTTTGCACAGGGGATCTTAAACCTACCATCAACTTCTTTTCCATTCAAAACCACGCCGCTCAGATATGGGTTCTGCCGCATGGCACCGAGCCTTGGCATTGCATCCTGCTCCCGTGCTCTTCGCCGATGTGGCACCGTCAGATGTTTGCCAAGGGCGAGTCGGCCACCTGGCATGCGTTGTGGGAGTTTTTTTTTGTTTTTTTTCGTCGCCCATGGACCTAAATACCTTGGACGAAACCAGAATGAACCTCTCATAGTTCTGATTTAACGGCTTATGCCACACTGTGGGCCAGCAGGCAGGAAGGAGGAAGAGGAATGAAGAAGGGAAAAAGGAGGGTAAGAATGGGAAGCTCAGGTTTTTGCATAAGATAATTTAATGTACTGTACCTTTCCTTCTTGATCAGGGTCGTTTTGTTGGCCTTGGTCTTGCGCCGTCTCACCCGCGAAGTGCGCGACTGCATGAGAGACACCAGCCACTGCCCGGCACCTTTATCATCGCTTAGTCTGCTTCGTCTTGTTGGCTTGGGACCTGCGAAGTGCGCCGTGAAAGCTAAAGTAAGAGGAAGGTTCAGAAGAGGAAAGCTTATGTTCGACAACTTTTATGGTGAATGACATCAAGGCTAGAAACACAGAACACCGTTTTGACTTGTGTCCAGACTCGCAGGATAGTAGATGGCTTTTGACAAGAGACTGAGAAACCCATCCAACAAGCCACCAAACGACCAATCCCCGAAGTGTCCAAGATGCCTTTGATCTCAAAGACCTCAGACACAGCTGTGAAAGTGCTTGCAATGGTGCTCCCAGCTTTTGTCTTTTGAAGCACAGTTTTCCAGGACTTGTAATTTTTGCGGGATGCCTCATGTTCAATGCTGCCGAGGCAACTGTTGGCTGGTCGCAGCGATCTCTGCAGTCGCCGAGTTCCCCAAGTACCTCAAGGGCAGCGTCTTCATCACCAAAAAGGTGACCAGGGTTTTTAAGATAGGAGCAAGGACGCTACTAGGGGCTCCTGGCATCGCTACTAGGAGCAAAGACGCTACTAGGGGTTCCTGGCCTTACTACTAGGAGCAAGAAGCTATTAAAAACAAGAATTCAATCGAATTGGAATCGTCATCACCAAAAAGGTGACATGGTTGACTACTTCAACGGTTGACGTGTTTGGACTGATGTTCCAGGTCGTTTACCTATGTTAGGTCTCTTGAGGTGAAGGCTCTTGCGGTTCAGATGGCTTGTTGAGGTCTCCAAGGAGGGAAAGTATATCGTGAAACTCTATGATGGGCGAAAGTTCAGCTGGGTGGGCATTGAAGTGGATGATTATTTGCCTTGCACATCCTGGGGTGGAGACACTCCATCACTCCTCTTCGGGAAGATTAGTGAAGGTGCGGGGTGAACCAACCAGGCTCAATGAACAGTGTCTCCCCCTTGTCGGGATGTTGGGATAAGAAGAGGTATTCAATGCAAGCTTGCTTTAGGTTTTGAACAGTTTCCAAATTTGGAGCAAATGAATCACAAACAAGCGAGGAAAGACACTCCTGACATCTTGCGCGAATTGGTTGGGTGCACCAAAGCTTTTCTCCTCGAAAAAGTGTATGAGGAATAGGGCTAGGGCTTAAACATTTTGAAAGAATCAACAGCTCCCTGAGGTAAGCTGTGCTGGCCGATTCTTGAGAAGGCCTTTGCAAAGCTCTATGGCAGCTACTCCCAGCTGAGTGGTGGTTACCAGTGGGTGGCCTGGCACCACTTGACAGGCTGCAAGGAATTCTTCATGTTCACGCACAAGTATGGTGTGGCGGTAAGATGGGTGGTGGCCACCAGCGCTGGCATCCCCGTCTATTCCGACAAGAGGCGATCGAAAAAGCTGGGAGTGTTGGCGGAAGGAGCTCACTTTCACGAAGTGCAGAGGATTGGATCTTGGATCCGCTTCTGGGCAGAAGTTTTTTGTAGGGATGGCACACGCACTTTTTGTGGCACAACGGAGCAGATAGATATAGACTAGATATGGAATGATATATATATATAATTATATATATACAGATAGGTATAGGTATAGGGGTATGGGTATGGGTATAGATATATTTAGATATCGACACGTGTGTGTGTGTGTGTGTGTGTTCCTTCTTCCATTTCCAGTCTCTCACAATCCACTCCATAGTCGAAGCCTAAATAGGAGCTCACATGGATTTTATCAGGATCAAAGCCACGCTGCCACTGAAAGCACGTGCAACGTAGGGTCCTTGGAGTCTTGGTGGCAGATGGTCACAACTCCGCTTCATCAGAGTGTCATGCTGTGCCGAAGCGCCAGACCAAAGATAAGCCAACAAAACAGGGAGGGCGAGAGGGAGAAAGATTCAGTTGACACATATTTGCAGATCGTCTTCGTTGTCTTCGTAATTGTCTTCGCCTTGCCCAAGGTAAGAGCAATCTTCTCGTGTAGAGTGTAGTTGGATGCCCATGCTCTGTGCACACCCACGCACCCACGCACACCACACCACTTGTGTGAGGTTTTCGGGCTACAGCTTATGAACAAGTCACGAATGCGATTGGAAGAACCAAATTGGCACATGGGTTGAACTTGTTAAACGTCCGTGGTTGCCGCAAGGATGGGCAATAGTACCTTCACCCCTAACTCGCATGATCGCGCGCGCATCGCGACAAAGGTTGTTCATCCCCGTCCATTGTTCGCTTGCAAGGCTATAAGAAGGCCGATGGTGATGGACCGGACTCGGGGTGGCTTTCTTACTACATGTCTGGTGTGAGAGTGGCGACGCGTGATCCGGTGAGTGCCGTGAGCTTTTCGACCTTCAAAGGGACCATCGACCCACGCTACGTCGGAAGCTCAGGGACGCAACATAGGAAGCCAACATGGGGAACCCAGCCCATTGACTTGGGATTTAGACGGAACATTTAAGGTGAGAAAAACATAATATATATATATAAATATATAACGTCTATTGCAGGTAGCATTTGGTAGCAAAAGGAACGAAGCACCATGATCTTTGGCCTGACCGATCCTCTTTGACCATGGCGGATAAAGAACAATTAAACGCTGACGAACCATGAAGACAGGAGAGACACACTTGTTTATGCCATGCGATGAATCAGGTGACTGAGTGCGTGGGTGGAGATGAAGGACGCTCGGTTGCGTTGTCAATTTTCTGTTTTTCAATCTGAGCAATCAATGCGTTCCTCAATTCCCACTCCTTTAGGAGCAAGGACGCTACTAGGGGCTCCTGGCCGTACTACTAGGAGCAAGGACGCTACTAGGGGCTCCTGGCATCGCTACTAGGAACAAGGACGCTACT